AGAATTCTCTTTGGCTGTACAATTGAGATGAATCATGTTTCATCTTTTCCTACCTAGTAAGAATTAAAAGGAAAAGAACATATAAATATTAACAGCTGTATCTTATTGTGTCAATTCATAGAACGAAACTGTGTTTCCTGATCCTTTCAGGAATGTAGTTTTACAACATTCTTCAGGAACTCTTAAGAATAAGGTTGGCAGTCTCAAGAGGGCCTAAAATGAGACCAACAGGTAGCAAGGTTAGACTCAGAAGTGGATGCTACACGTTAGGCAGGCTGCACTTCTGTCACTGGAGGGTGGCATCCTCCAGCTGATCCCACAGCACCGGGAGGAGAGTCTTGGGCTCTACCCACGGATGTGAGGTACATGTACAGAGATCTCTCCCACATTTTTCCCCTCTGCCACTCTTCCTGAATGTGCTTCTGTGATTTCCTAATTTTTTAAATAAACTTGACCGAAAAGCAGAGAATATGTTGCATGAAAAAAAATGTATGTACCTGTATTCAGTCATCTCTGTTGTGCAGTCGGGGCTGGCCTGGGGTGTGGTTTCACTTCAGATGGTCTGGATTTTTTTTTCTGATTCGAAGTTAACTCATACACAAACAAATTATCTAAAGTGCCATACTGAAGAAACTGGCTTCTTCTTGATTACTTACACTGATACATGAATTACCATTCTGTTGGCGATTAACTGCATGTGTGTGCATGTTGATGTGAAACTTCCATGACAAAAATCGTGTTAATTTCAAGCATTTCTGCTTTCTTCCCCATCTCCAAAGACTCTTGTAACCATTTCAAGCAGTGGTTCCTTAGTTTCCTAATCTGCCTTGTCTCCATTTCATTCACATGGAATCATACAGTATGTAACCTTTGTATCATTTAGTGTAATGTTTCTGACTTATCTGTGGTAGCATGTATTGGTAGTTTTATGCCCTTCTGTGACTCAGCAAAAAAAGTTCCATTATAGATTATTGCTCATATATTAAAAGCAGATTTGTGTGTTGACTTAAGATCCTTCTAGTTGGCTGTATTTGTGTTACCTTTAAGTTTGTACATGGGCACACATATTTAAGTTGTCTTTGTGAAGTCCTTTCAACTGCAACTACTTCTTCCTTTCCTGCTAGTGCCTTTTCTCCTTGCCTCACTGCTTTGCCCAGCGCTGCTATTTCAGTACTAAGTAAGTGAAGAAAGGACATCCTTGTCTAATTCTTGATCCTGGAGGGAGAATTTTCACTCTTGCCAGTGAGTTTAACATTATATCTTGGATTTTCAGTAGTTGACCGTTATCGGGGTGAGGAAGTTAAAACCTCATTCTAGTTTGTTATGCGTTCTTATCAGCGAAGTTCATTTAATTTTGTCAAATACCTTTTCTAGGTCAGTTGAGGTGACTGAAATTTTACTGAAATGTTTTCTCTCATTCTGCTACTGTGATTTACGTTTATCCGTGTGTATTGAACCACCTTTGTAGTCTTGGAATAGATCCCATTCAGTCACAGTTTTGTTTTTTAATGTGGAAGGATACCCGCTGCCATCAGCACTTCAGACCCTCATAAAATGCTGCTGTATTAAATCTGCAAGGGGTAAGTGCCTTAGTTTTTCTGTAGTGCCTTTGTCATGCTCAGAAATAGGGAATTATTCTGTCTTTTTTTGAAGAGTTTGAGAAAAATGAGATAGTTCTTTAAATGTGTAGTAGAATTGTTTGTTAAACCATGAGTTCCTTGGTCTTTTTATTTGAGAGGTTTTTCCTTTGTTAATTTGATATCTTCACTTGCTAAAAGTGTGTTGGGATTTTTATTTTCTCTCCAGTTAGCTTCTGTGGTTTTATGTGTCAGGGAGGTTCTAGGTTATTTTTTGTGTAGCAGTTCTGTGTTGTCTTGTAGTTCTTTTTATTTCAGTGTTTTCAATTTCAATAGTTTGTTTTTTACTGGTTTAAGTTAAAGGACTGTTGACATTGTTGATATTTTTTAAGAATCAGCTTTTTGGTTTCACTGATTTGTCTAGATTGTGTTCTTTCCCAGTTTCATTCACCATGGTGCTCCTCACTAGTTCTTTTGACATTGTTCCTTTTTTCCCCCTAATTCTAACTTAAAACGTAGTGTTAGGCATTGATGATATGTGCAACTTTTCTTTGATTTGTCGTGTTTCTTATGTCTACCTGTCCTGTCCCTCTGAGCAGTGCTGAGCCCCTACGTTTGTATGTATCTTTTCCTTCTCATTCATCTTTAAGTATTGCAGTTTATCTTGTGATTTCTTTGCTCCGTTAGGCTTTGTTTGAGAATGCTGTTTAATTTCCAAAGATTTGTGTATCTTCTAGCTTCATTCTTTGAGCTCAAGAGACGTCGGTCTAATCATACAGTGTACCTAGCAGAATCTTCTGTGGATACTTGAAAATGTGTATTCTGTTGTAGTTTGACTTACTCTGTATCTGATAGTTCTTATTTTTTTTCAGTGTTGTTCAAATCCTGTATTTCCTTATTTCACTTCAGATTGTTTGTTTTTAAAAGTGGAATACTGGACAGATCTGTTACAGCAGTTTGAGATGCTGCCTGAGATGCTGGCATTGGGCACCATATCAGGTCCTGGCTACTCTACTTCCAATCTGGCTCCCCAAAATTCTGGGAAAGCAGGAGAACATGGCCCAGGTGCTGGGGTGCTTGCCAGCCATGCGGGAGACCCAGGTATTGTTCTAGGCTTCTAACTTCTGTCTGGCCCATCTGGGACTGTTGGGGCCATTAGTGCAGTACATCAGCAAATGGAAAGAAGTCCAACTCTGCCTTTCAGATACATAAAATCTCTCTTTTTAAAATGGAATACTGAGGGTCTGGCGCAATAGCATAGTGGTTAGGATCCTCGCCTTGCACACACCAGGATCCCATGTGGGCACCGGTTCTAATCCCGGCAGCCCCGCTTCCCGTCCAGCTCTCACTGCTTGTGGCCTGGGAAAGCAGTTGAGGACAGCCCAAAGCCTTGGGACCCTGCACCTGCGTGGGAGACCGGAAAAGCTCCTTGCTTCCAATTGGCTCAGCTCCAATCATTGTGGTCACTTGGGGAGTGAACCATCGGATGGAAGATCTTCCTCCCTCTGTCTCTGCTTCTCTCTGTATATCTGTCTTTCCAATAAAAATTAATAAATAAAAAATGGAATACTGAAGATTCAACCATTTTGCACGTTTATTGTCCTCTATTTGTGATGGAATTACATCCTGATAAACCAATTTTAAGTTGAAAATATTGAGTCAAAAATAAATTTAATGCACTTTATCACCTGGTATGTTATTGAGTGTTTTTGCTCATGTGATCACATTGCTACCTGAACTGTGGCTCAGTGCTGCTGCCTGTCATTGTGGTACAGCGTGATAAAACTCCTTGCTCATGGCCTGGGAAAGCAGTTGAGGATGGCCCAAGGTCTTGGGACCCTGCCACCAGCATGGGAGACCTGGAGGAAGCTCCTGGATCTTGGCATCAGATCTTCTCTGTTCTGGCCTTTGACAGCCACTTGGGCAGTGAACCAGCAGATGGAAGATCTTTCTCTCTCCTCTCTGTAAAAGCTGACTTCCCAGGTTTTTTGTTTGTTTGTTTTTTATCGTTAACAACATTGTATTATGTGATACATTTTTATAGGTGCTTGGATTTCCCCCGCTCCTCCCCCAACCCTCCCCCCATGGTAGATTCCTCCACCTTGCTGCATAACCACAGTTCAAGTTCAGTTGAGATTCCTTCATTGCAAGCACATACCCAGCATTGAGTCCAGCATCTTATTGTCCTGATAATTTTAACGGCTTCTTGGGGAGACCTTCTCTGGTCTGAAGGCAAAGCTAACAGAGTAAAATCCCGGTCAGTTAAAAGCCCCAACAAAACATCAGCAACAATATATAGTGTTATGGAATTGACATAGTATTGAGTAAACAATATGTTGAAAATAATGCAAGTTCAATTTTTCAAAACACATGTGTTGAGACAGTACCAATGACAGGATAAAAAAAAATACAGGTTAAATTAAGGCAAACATGTGGTATTCACTTGGGTAGTGAACCAGCAGATGGAAGATATTTCTCTCTCCTCTCTGTAAAAGCTGATTTTCCAGTTTAAAAAAAAAGCTTGCTTTACGACATCCTCACCTGCATGTTTGAGCGCCTATTTCCTACAGCCTTGTCAATATGACCGATTGAACCTTGGTATCATTGTCAGTGTATAGATGAAAATTGGTGTCACACTGTTGTTTTCATTTGAGTTTCTGTTATAAATGTGCTGAGATTTTTTTACTTTTAGTTTCTGTGTTTGAAAGCCATGAATTTAATACCAGTAAGGTATTTGATTTCTATAGTTGATTTTTACGAAGAATCTTCTGTCAAAATTGGTTTACTTCAAACATAATATCTTTGCATAAGTAAAAAAGCCATTCCAAATGTGAATGCCAATTCCTAATTTGGTTTTTGTTATTTATTGCTTGGGGAGAAGGGCCCACCTCATTTTATTCAACCTCGTGATGTGAGGAAATGTGGAATAACAAGGGTAGCAGTAACAGATGGTGTGTCTGGGCCTGGGCACAGTTTCCTGTGCAACTGGAAAACTGCACTGGGACTGAATTGTGCCATGGGGGTGTTCTGTAGGTTAACAGAAATTCTTGATGGTGTGTTCAGTTGTTAAAACATCTACACCTGTAGTTACTTCTTTCTAACACTTTAGAACCACTTTAGTTTCTTTAGTTTGACCAAGATGCTAGAGTTTTGTTAATCAAAAGTAGCTTTTGTTTCTCTTAAGCATTGTGTTTAGTGGTACATAGGCAAGATAAAATTGTTTCTTTGTTAATTTGAAGTATTAAAAGTAACACTGTAGGTTTTATCCAGTTTTCCTCTTATGTTTCTGTTACTGCTATAAGATTTTTGTTGTTGTGTGTTTTTCTTTTAGAAGCGTCTTCAGTTCAGTAACTTTCACAGTTGGTAGATACTTGCTGACTGTTGGTTAACTATTAACGGGAATGGTGGTGTGTTTTCACCTAGATCCCAAGGAAGAGAAGGAGGAAGAACCCAACTCTGCCCTCTCTCAGGAAGTTCCCGCTGTTGCGACCCGACCTGCCCGGGGCTGGCGCAGTAGCAGCAGGACCTCTGTCTCTCGCCATCGCGACGCAGAGAATACTCGAAGCTCCAGGTCCAAGACCGGTTCATTACAGCTCATCTGCAAGTCAGAACCAAATACAGATCAGCTGGATTATGGTACAGTGCAAGTGGAGTATGCTTGCTCAGTGGCCAATTGCTGTTTTTATCTTAAATGTAATGTTGAAAGTGGGCATTTGACACAGCTGTTACAACACTGCATGGTACCCGCTTCCCAGAGATGTTCCTGGGTGCAAGTCCTGGCTCTACTGCCAGTGCATACCCCCCGACACAAGCAGGTGATGGTTTGAGTGGTTGTACCACATGGGAAACTCGCATTGAATTCTTGGTTCTTGATTTTAGCTTGGCCTATCCGTGACTGTTGAGGGCAATTAGGGGTGACTGTGTGGGGAAATACCTCTTTCTGTTTGTGTCTCTGTCTACCTATCTCTGTGTATGCCTTAATAAATAATCAGTAATTTTTTTTAATGTAAAGTTGAACAGGTTAGCTTTCAAGGACAGCTGTCATAGCACAGGGAGTGCAGCGATTTAAACCTTTTGGTATAGGGGAAAAATACATCTAAGTAAAATTTTATTTGTGCTTGCTTTCTCCAGAAGTTGCAGAAGAACATCAGTCTCCAGGTGGCATTAGGTAAGCAGGGGCGAAACTTTCACCTGCATATTTTGTATTAAACTTGAGTTAACTGTAGAGCGTTATCACAGTGAATGAGTCGGAAGTTATTTTCCAATTGTTAGGAAATCCAGAGAAATCAAGTTCACTGTTACTAGATTTAAGTTCTGTATTGATGTTGATTAGAGCTTTAGCTGTGGAATCCTACTAGTTTAGAAACTGTGTCCTTAGTTCCTTATGTTGTGTTTTGATGAGAGCTTTAATTTTATTATCTTTCAGGACAAGTCTTGATTTTGTTCTGTTGGGTATTTTCTGATAAAGCACATTACCACATAGTATTACAATGTCAGTTTTTTATTTCTTGCTATTGTTGCATAGTGATCTTATCTCTGTTTTAGAATGTGATAGAATATCTAAGATTTACATGGTTTTGTTCCAATCATTAGTCTTAAGATCCAGCAATTAGATAAGGACATAGAGTACCAGACAGTCTACTCACATGTGAGCCTTTCAACCTAGTTAGTTTTGTGTTTTATTTCTCTAGTAGTGATGAGGAAGAGGAGGAGGAAGAGATGTTAATCAGTGAAGAGGAAATACCTTTTAAAGATGACCCACGAGATGAGACCTACAAACCCCACTTAGAAAGGTAAGCCTCTTAATTTTATTCCAGATAACCTCAGTAAAACATTAGTAGGAAAGTACTGTCTCACACTCCTGTTTTGTTCTGTTACCAGAGTAATGGTTAGTTTTGAGTAATGAATTTTGTTCTTGCTTTGCATATCAGCTTATTTTTCTTAAGTCTAAAGTGAGGTCCTTCGTAGGAATCTTGTGCCTGAGCGAAAGGAGAAGCATCTCACGGGTGTCCAGTACATGTCATTGCTGTGAATGTGAGAAAACATGAACGGAAACTTGAACCTGTTGTCATGGTCTTCCTTCCTGCAAAACGTACTTTGTGCGATATCACTGTTAAAAAGATGAATTTGTGTTTTCAGGGAAACTCCAAAGCCACGGAGAAAATCAGCGAAGGTCAAAGAAGAGAAGGAGAAGAAGGAAATCAAAGTGGAAGTGGAGGTGGAGGTGAAAGAAGAGGAGAGTGAGCTGAGAGAAGACGAGGAGCCTCCTAGGAAGTGAGTGCGCAGTTAACCTGTCAGAATGGAAGCTAGCAACTTTGGAAATCTAGTGGAATGAAGGATTGCAATGTGAGAAAAGATGTTCACATAAACATACTTAGTGATGTATCACTTTTTAAATAAAAAATATTTAGCCTAAAGCATCTGCTACTTTCACTCAACATACTGCTGAAATTGATGAAGTTACATTTAAATCGTAGCAATCGAAAGGAGCAGAAAAGGTTGTCTATAGGAATGCCGAGAGAGCCAAAACAAACATAGGGCAATTGTACATCAGAACAAACAGAGCAAACCTTATAACTAATTGGATTTAAAAAATTTTGCCAAACGATTCTTTTGTGTTTCAGAAAATCTTAGATGTGTAGGCATTATTATAAGCAGACTGTAGGTTACATAAGAAATTCTCATTTTATTAATATCTTCACTCTATTTTGGTAAAAGACTACAATTTAATAATTCTTGAAGTAATAACATGTGAGATATAGCTAAATCTTTAGCAATGCATAATTTATAGAAGGTGTATAATTTGTGGCAGAGTGATTTGACAGAGATAAAATATTGCTTAATTTGCCAGATGCGAGTTTCTTTGACATAATTTATTCTGGGTTATCCTGAGTGTCTGCCGCTCCCTCTTTCACCTTTAGTTTAAGTTGATTTCTGTAAGCTTCAGTCTAGATATGTGCACAGTTAGTAACTTTATCTTTTATTATAGGAGGGGAAGAAGACGAAAAGATGATAAAAGTCCACGTTTACCCAAAAGAAGGTGAGGAATTTATACTCCTGCTTCCTACCCGATTTCTGACGTTAGATGCCTTACCCCGTAATAATCTGTGGATCTATGTGAAAATTCCACATAAGTTTTTTGATGTGGAGATGTAATATTTTCATTGCTAAATCTTGATATTTCTAAGAATTTTTGTATTTTATCTTTACTTCTTGTTACTATTTAGTTCTTTGCTGTTTTGAAACTGCCAGACATATTTTAGATTACTTCTTGTATCAGTTCTGTGCACACAATGTGCTGGTTAACGGATTTTAAAAATAATACTTACTTGAAAGTCAGAGGGGTACATGGAAGGAGCGATGGAGAGCTCTTCATGCACCGCTGGCTTACTCCCCAAACGACGAGGACTGGGGCCTGGGTAGAGCAAGGAGCCAGGAACGCCCTCCTGGCTCTAGGTAGAAAGGAGGGGCCCCAGCACTGCTCCCGTCAGGAGGGAGCTGCATAGGACACAGCAGCCAGGGCCCAAGTGGCGCTCTGATAACACTGTGCCATCATCCCGTCCCACTAATGAAGAGATTTTAATTTAATTCTTTGTGTTGTAAAGTAACTGTTTCTTGAAATACAGTTTCAGCTAAAGACCACTCTGGAGGATGCTTTCTGTTAACTTTTCACTTACATTTTGGTAATAGGAAAAAACCTCCAATTCAGTATGTCCGTTGTGAGATGGAAGGATGTGGAACTGTTCTTGCTCACCCTCGTTACTTGCAGGTCAGTGAGGTGGTTTATGTAAGTCAGTCATTAAGGCAAATGACTAAGGACTTGAACCTTTCCTTTGAACCTTGAAATACTACAGTACTTCCCAATGTGATGTAAGTGCTTCGAAGAGGCAATTGTAACAAACACTGAAGCAGCGTTACATTTTAATATGTTTTTTAAAAATAATAAAATCAGCTCAAACCATTGATTTCTTAAATACTGCTTAGAATGAATAGAAATTTTTTGATTGAGGCTTTAAAGTGATTCCAGATACAGCATATGCTTAAATATGATAGAATATATGCATGAAAATAAATTACTGTTCAGAAAACGGTGTTTGATCTTCGGTGGCAAGTATGAGACTGAAGCCTTGCTCGTGGACAATGATTCTAATAGTGGTAGCTAATATTCTTTTCTGTGAGCATTTACTGTGCCAAACTAGACAGTGTATGATGTCTATTTCTGTAACAACACAGAGACAGTTCTCCTTTTCTGTTTTTTTTTTTTTTGTATGAACTGGAGCTTGAAATGTTTACTGTATCTAAGATCACTGCTAGTGAGTAACAAACCCACTTTTGAACCCATTTCTGTGTGTTTTAATAGCCTGTGTTTTTTTAATCATTTGAATCTACTAGCTTCCTATGTGTGCAGACTGACAGTTTTTTTTTTTTTTTTTTTAAGCGCTTTGGACTTAAAAAGCAAAAGCTTCCAGGAACCCTTGATGTTTATTGCTTTTTACTTTGTCTTACTGTTTTAGCACCATATTAAGTACCAGCATTTGCTGAAGAAGAAGTATGTATGTCCCCATCCCTCCTGTGGACGACTTTTCAGGCTCCAGAAGCAACTTCTGCGACATGCCAAGCATCACACAGGTACTTACTGACTGAAGCTCGCTGGGTGCTGCACGTGTGTGGGTTATTACTGTTTGCAGGACAGAGAGTGAGAGACAGTTTTTATTTGAAAGCTGACAGATTGATTTTCCATCTCTTAGCTCACTCCCTAAATAACCCACAACAGCTGCAACTGGGCCAGACTGAATCCAGAAGCCCAGAACGCAATCTGGGTCTCCCTGTAGGTAACAGGGTACACATTAACAGGAAGCTGGAATCTGAAACTGGACTCAAAACCAAGCAGTCGGATGTGGGATGCAGGTTTCTTAACTGCAGAGCCAAAAATACCTGTCCCAGTGTTCAGTAATTTAAAGTGAAAGGCTTCAAAACTGTTGTCATCATTCAACAAATTGTTGAGTACCTGTTTAGCCATAGGCTTGCCAGTGGGTAAAGAAAGAAAGAAGCCCAGTGCTTCTTTGTCCTGAAGATTCCACACCAGATTACCAAGTTGACCAGAAGACCTGTGGGGCTGGAGGAGGGTGATCTGTGTCGGGAATGGAGGATTGGGTATGGCCAAAGAGGAGTTGGTTGAATAGTGTGGAAAATAATGGGGAAGGGGAAACAGCATGTTTTGCATGCATTTGATCAAGGGAAGTTGACATTGTCCTGATGACACTTTTTAAACTTGATGTAGGGTATAATTGTCGTTTCTGATATCGGTCACGCTTTCCTAAGGAGTTCTGATTTCTATTTTGGTTTTATTTGGTACTACACTTAATCTTGGTCAAAAGGCCAAGAAGCGGTTTTGTTTTTATTTGAATATAAATTCTTCCTGTGTAGACATTGAGTAGTTCTTGCCTGCAAAACCTGGTTTTAAAGAACAAAATCCATAGAAAATGTAGTTGTAGTTGCTTATTTCCCAGACAACTAGTTTAGTAATAGAATAGGTGAGAATTCCAGTTTCATGGTTTGGTTTTTTTTTTTTCGTAATTTGCATTTTGCTTACATTGAAAGCAGCACTGCTTATACTTTAAAATGACCTTCCTCATACATCAGAACAAAACACTAATCACATTATTTTTCTTTTTAGATCAAAGAGATTATATCTGTGAATATTGTGCTCGGGCCTTTAAGAGCTCCCACAACCTGGCAGTACACAGGATGATTCACACTGGCGAGAAGCCATTACAGTGAGTTCTTCATTTACTAGTGAATGTCTGGGTGACAAGTGCATGTACCTCACTCAAAGGTTTGTTACTTTACACGTTTCAGCTGGCACGGTTATTAATTTTCATTGGATCAAAGAGTGGATATTTATTTGTGGCTTGGGGATCTACTTAGTGACCTTTTTCTTCATTTTTATCAGATCTGTATTCTTACTTGACCTTGAATAAAAGTTGCTTTATTTCTGTTTGGTCAGCCAGTTCCTCTCTTTTTCAGATGTGAGATCTGTGGATTTACTTGTCGACAAAAGGCGTCCCTTAATTGGCACATGAAGAAGCATGATGCAGACTCCTTCTACCAGTTTTCTTGCAATATCTGTGGCAAAAAATTTGAGAAGAAGGACAGCGTGGTGGCTCACAAAGCAAAAAGCCATCCTGAGGTGCTGATCGCAGAAGCTCTTGCTGCCAATGCAGGCGCCCTCATCACCAGCACAGATATCTTGGGCACTAACCCAGAGTCCCTGACACAACCTGCGGACGGGCAGAGTCTTCCTCTTCTTCCTGAGCCTTTGGGAAACTCAACCTCTGGAGAGTGCCTGCTGCTAGAAGCTGAGGGGGTGTCAAAGTCATACTGCAGTGGTGCAGAACGGGTGAGCCTGATGGCTGATGGGAAGATCTTTGTGGGAAGCGGGAGCAGTGGGGGCACTGAAGGGCTGGTCATGAACTCGGATATACTCGGTGCTACCACGGAGGTTCTCATTGAAGATTCAGACTCTACTGGACCTTAGTGGGAAAGAAGACTTTGGGCACTGGAACAGCTCAGACTTTGTATTTAAAATATAAAAGGACAAAAAAAATGTAAAGCATTTAAAATCTAGTAAAATAACTGAAGGGCCTGCTTTTTCCATTGTGGATCATAGCACATACACACCCATCCCCTGTCCTCCTTCTGTTGCCCCCCTTATAAACACTGATGTTGCCTTTACCAGCAAGGTAGACAAAAATACAGCAGCAGCTCTTACGTGAGGGTTATCCTCATAGTTCCGGCCAGTGCAGATTTCCTGGTCACTGGCACACCCCTTATTCCGACCTATAACTGATGTGCTCTGGATCAGCTTTTAACTTAATAGTACATTACTGTCTTATAAATCCCTTCTCCTCTATTGCTGCCCTATGGTTCTGGCTTCTACCCACTGCAGCACACTTACCCTCAAATATATAATTCTAATCTCTGGAGGCTGGCAGCTTGACTTGGCACTTTAGGACCCCTTAGTAGGGTAAGCTGTTAACACAGCACACATCTCTCGCCCTCTCTTCCTCCATTCCCAACTTGGTTTTGGAAAGGAAGGATATGCGGGGACCACCTCCCTTCTCTGATCCCAGCACCTCAGTCCCCCTTTCACACCTCCACATGGCTCTTAATGGTGCTCACTTGCTTGGAAGCAGGCTCCAGGGGGAGGGGCTGCCCTCAGCACAGTCCCTTTGTAAGACAGAGCTCTGTATCAGTGAGACAGAAAAGTCCCAGGCTAATGGCAGAAATTTGCACTTTGAACATGTGTGTTTTTGTGTTGTGGAACCTGAGATTCCTTATTTATTAATGGAAAGTCTGATTTTTGGGGGGTGGGTGGGGGAGGGTCTTTGTTGCTATATTTTGTGGGGCTGTGAGAGATTAGATTATTCTGACATGGGACCCTTTCCACATGAGGTACTTTGAAGGCAAGGCATAGGGTTAAAGAAGCACAGCCAGCCTCTCAAATCATAGCTTTCCAGTGGCCTTTAAAGAAAGCTGGTCCTCAGCACTAACAGATTCACTACAATAGCCTACTGTTCCTTTGTCAGCCTTCTTAGGGAAGGATGTTACTAGGTTTGTGGTAACTAGTGTGCTCTTGGAAATTTGTAGAGCGTTGAGATTTAGTTATTTTAAGGGGATGTCAGAGGGTGTTCAGGGTCTGAATTACAGATAACAGATTATTCTTGTAAATTCTACTTTTTTTTTTTGTTCCCACCATTTCTTTATGTATACCTCCCTGTTGGTGCAACTTGGCCTCTTGCTTTCTGTTTTGTTTTTTGCTTTGCCTTATCATTGGTTCATTCCGGTTCCCTGTTAGTGAAGAATATTGCCATTAGTGAAGGAACAAAGTCTACCAGTCCTAAAGTTTTTAAGTCTAAGAAAGCTGCTCTGTTTCCTTTAGTAATGCTTCAGAAGAGAGACACTTTAATGGACAAGTTGGTTATCTTTGTAATAAAGGCTTTGGCTTTCACCTGAAATTCTGGGGATTGCCACTTCCCTTGATAGAGTGATTTCCACGGGTATGTAAAAGTTCCTAACACCGCAAGACCAAAAATGTATTTGGGCTCATTTTTAGAGAACAAGAGGATGACTCCTATTCTGTAGAGCTTAGGAGTTGAAGACTTGCCCTGTTCGTTGTTCATTGTTAAGAGTGTATGATGGCTGTTGGAAAGAATGAAGATTTGCTGAGAACAAAGTAAGGAACAGCTTGTTTTTCACAAACACTAAAACTACGAAATTTATCAGTTTTCTCTCTGATTTCCCCCCCCCCCCCCGAAAGGAGGATAATAAATGTCATCTCTGAAAGAGACTTACTGTGCAACCCGCTGTGTCAGTGGTCAGGGTGCCAGGGAACAGGGAGGGAGACACCTACAGGGAGCAGGCTGAAGTGCACTATTGTTTCTCACAGTGTTCCTCATTGTGGGGGAAGAAAATGGGATGATAGAAGGGATGCAGAGTGTGCTTCCCTGCCCACAGTAAATATTCAGAGTTGACTTTGATATGTTGAGTAGATTTAAAAATAGAATTGATTGGATGCCTCTTCAGCAAAGTTGTTCTGCTCCCAAATAAGTCTGTTTTGTACTGTTGGATTAGTTAGTACCTGTATTCCACACTTAGTTTTGCCTTTGCCACATGTGAACTTTGTCTCCATAAATCTAATTTGCAGTGATTAGTCATCAGATATTTTAACTACCTACACAAAAGCAAACTATCTTTGTATGAGATAGGGGAAAATATGTTGTTCCTGCCTACTAAAACTAACTGAATAGTCCTGTGTTCTTTTTTCTCTTTTTTTTTTTTTCCCAGAACTATCATTGCCTACAGTAAATTATTGTAGCGCCTTGCAATAGAATTTTAAAAATATTCTTAGGAACTATTCATTTTGCTTTTGAGAAAGGGGTGCTAGGATGGTGAGTTTGTGTAAGTAAACTAGGTTCTCTTCCCATCTCCTGTCAGTTCTCCATGCTGCTTCATTGTCCTTACTCAAAGGTCTTCCAGTCTTTAGATTTTGCCTTTCCAATTCTCATTAGATAAATTACGTTACCTTCTAAGCAACCCATAACCACTGCATGTTAGCCATCTTGAGTTGGCAATCCTAAATTCTGATAACAGAGTTTTGGATATAGCTATTAAGTATCTCTGAGAGATGTACTTCCTCGTCATGATTGCCCAGGGTTCTTTTGCCATAATTAGACTCCTTCATGTGCTTCAAGGTGTTCGGATAAACACTGGTTTGGGAATCCTGGGAGTGCAAAAAGGAAGCTATGGAGAAGCACTCACACAGAGCACTTGAGCCTCTTGTTGTCTGGAGGAAAAAATGCAAACATACTACTAACCTAAATAAGGTGATTACGGTCTCCTTGTTTGAAGTACCTTTTTTTCCCCCCTGTTTGTTTTTCCCACTTTCAAATGTACTCAAAAACTTTATAAATTGTAATGAATCGATTTACATTTTTATTTCCTAAAAGCCTTTTACCTGTTGTAATGTGCAGGACCCTTCTCCTTTGCTGGGAGAGACAGGTAGTTACCTGAATCTAGGTTGAAAAGGTTATGTAAAAAAGAAATTATAATAAAAGGGATTACTCTGCTTTTCAAATCCTTGTTTTTCTCTTGATCTAGGTAAGACATATTCAAAATAAGTATGTGAAGTAGAACAATAAAGGTCTTCCGGGAGAAGCTCGTCTTCCTTGGTTGTACTGAATTACAGTTCTCCAAGGGCTGAAACTGTGAATGAAAACACCAAGTGCCTTCCGAGCAGGTTTTGCTATGTTGTTCTGAAAATCATAATAATTATTTCTAGAGCAAAAATCCCATGATTCTATTATCATCCAAGAAACTTGGAAACTTACACTCCAGTTCTTTCTAGGAAAGTAGTCATTGTTTTGACCTAACAGAGGAGAGCTTAGAAGATGCAGTGACGTTGGTTTCATTCAGAAAATGACAGAACCTTGATAGTGAATAATAGTGTTTGTGCACAGAATGCAGTGCTCATCATCAAATGCTACCTTTGAGAAAAAGGGAAAAAAAACTGCACTCTCTGTACCTTCCTTCCAGGTTTTATTTCTTTTCCGCATATGTGCCTCATTTTTATTGACCTATGTAAATTTGCTCCTTTCAATAGAATGCATTTCAGTTTACTGACTGTGATATAAAATGGTCAAAGTCAATTAATGTGGGGATGAAACTTGGCAACTCTTAACCAGTTAACATCTTACGGTGGAATGACTTCATTCCTTTTCTACAATTTCGTTGAGCATGTGATACGATTTGCTTAGGAAATAAAGAGGAAGGCATGTTTTCACTTGAGCCAGAATACTTTAGAAATATTACCAAGTTAGGTTGGGAATTTCCTGTCCTTTGGGGAACAGGACTAAGCAATACTTTTCTTATCCTGTAGCTACAAGGAAGAAAGCTTGAAATCAGAAGTGTTGAAATTGGAGATGCTGCCTTGGTTGGTTTTTAGTCAAATCCAAGAAAATACCAAAAAATGGAAGTTTTAAGATGCTGTTTAAAGAGACTATTTAATGTAACCCTTTATTTCTTCAAGAAGATGCAAATTCCCCAAAAAAAGTGAGAAAATGTAGGAAAAACAACTGTTGAATCCAAAACCTCTACGTGTGAGCAAGTGATTGTTTATGTGATTGTTTCCTTAAGTTTCAGTTTCTTAAAATAATGAGAAAAATATTTATCCTGGAATTAGTTGAAAAATCAGATGGAAATACTTTAAAGCTTTTAACAGGATGTCTTACCCAGGATGCTTAATAATTGGCAACTATATCATTAGCAACATAGTATTACTGAAAACTTGTCAGAAAATTTTGAAAAATAAAAAATTCATGAAAATACAAGAGAGGTAGAGGATAAACTGACTATACGTGTATATAAAATAGATTAGGCAGGGATGTCATGAGGATTGGTGTGATAGTGACCTTGTTGCTAAGTGCAAAAGCAAAACAATGACATAGAAACAAGTGTGCCAAGTACTGAGTGGAGGAGAGGGATGGAGGCAGACGCCACTGGAAAAAAAAAAAAAAGCTGATTTAAAAGGGCTCTTTGATTCCACAGGCACAAAAATCCACAGCCAGGAATTTGCTGCCACCTCTGAGTCAGGCAGGGGGTGGGGGTGCGGGGTGCACGATCCCATTAGTAGAGAATGCCCAGTGGATTTAGTCTGTGAGAGTCACATTTCTTATCTGGACCAGTGTAGACAAGCCAAGCCGGCTCTCTTGTTTCCTGGGACGGTTGAGTTAGGAGATGGCTTTCATGGAGCGTTCACCACTGATACCTCACCGCCGCGACCTCTGCAGCCGTACTATCTGGCTAGCAAGGAAGATACATTCAGACCTGACTGCTCTGATGGAATCTTACGTAAGTTGTTTATTTTGCTATTTACTTTCCTTCACCTCTCCTGACTAGCTTTGTATAAGACATCATACTCCAGTAGTCTAAGCCCTGTTCACTAATAGTTGTTCATATATCAAAAATGTATTGTTTGATACTTTTTTCAATTTTTATTTATTATTTTGACTGGAAAGTAAGAAATACAGAGAGTAAGATCTTTCGTCCATGGATTCACTCCCCAGTGCTCCGCCGATCTGAAGCCAGGAGCTTCATCCAGGTCTCCCATGTATGGGTGCTGGGTCCCAAGGCTTTGGGCCGTCCTGTACTGCTTTCCCAGGCCACAAGCAGGGAGCTGGATGGGAATTGGGGGCACCGGCTTTGGAACTGGCACCCTTAGGAGACCCCGGCATGTACAAGGGAAGGCCATCATGCTGGGCCCTTGACATCCTCTCACTTGAAGAAACTCGAGCCACCTTACCTTCCTCCTCTAGAATGTTTAGGACACACGTTGCCTGAATGAGAAAGTATGTTTATAGGTTCTAGCTAAATGCACTTCTTAACTGGATTGCCTATGTGTGGGTTGTTTACATACATCAGTTTGCAGTTTTGACCTATGTAAATGAGGAAGGTTTATAGGATTGTGAGGAAGAGCAGTGTGAACCTGGGAGAAATTTGTAAGTCCAGCTGCATTTCCCTTGAAGTATTGGTCTCTCCAAATTTTAATGTTAGACATGAGAAATATTCTGGTGTCAGATGAGGTCTGCCTACACTTTGAAAGGGACTTCTCATGTACTGTTCATCAGTAACTTGTCCAATATTTCAGTTAGCTATAGAACTTTAGGATTTTGGTGAAGCCAATAAATCCCATCAATCTCCACCCAAGATCTATAGAAATGTAGATTTCCTGGAAATGGGTTTGTTTTTCACACACACACACCAGTCAGAAATCAGTCTGAGCACCATCTTATTTACCTGTATGTATGTATCAAAGCCGATTGCTGTTGCAACTCTCCCCTGCGAGTTAGGCAATGGGAAGTGGAAGCTAGAGAAATTCTGTGATGGCTTGCTTTTAGGACTTTTGGGTGATGAACATAGTCTTCAAGTATGTTTGAAATACTTGAGAGCAGTATGATTGGAATCCAGTTTCAACAGACTCTGAAATGGGAAGGAAAAATTGTGTCAGTGATTTCAACTTTTAGAGCTTAAAACGTTGTCCATTAACTCAAGAAAAATGGACAAATAATTTTACACAGTTCAAAAAGTCTTACTAAAATCCAGGTAATCCCTAATGAAGAGCCCATTCTAGACAGTTCTGCTTCCTTCACAAACTGTATTCTGCACTAGGAAGACCGTGTAAGATTTTATATGAGATTTAGGGATGGCTGAAGCCAGAACAGGGTGATGTACAGATGTGACTGTTTTCTATATTGCCATGCAGGTGAAGCATCAGGGCCTGAACAAGAACATCAGCCTTGACTCTGTGGATGGTGTGCCAATGGCAAGCACTGATCAGTGGAGTGAGCTGACCGAGGCAAAGCGACTCCAAGAGAACCTCCAAGCTTATCGGGCCTTCCATGTTATGTTGGCCAGACTTTTAGAAGACCAACAGGTGCATTTTACCCCAAATGAAGGTGACTTCCATCAAGCTATCCATACCCTTCTGCTCCAGGTTGCTGCCTTTGCTTACCAGCTAGAGGAATTAATGGCGCTGTTGGAATATAGTATTCCTCCCAAAGAGTCTGATGGGTCTCCTGTTGCGGGAGGAGGTGGGCTCTTTGAGAAAAAGCTGTGGGGCCTAAAGGTGCTGCAAGAGCTTTCACACTGGACAGTGAGATCCATTCATGACCTCCGTGTCATTTCTCATCATCCAACTGGGATTCCCACACGGGGGAACCATTATATTGCCAGTGACAAGAAAATGTAGCGGGTGTCCCTCTGTGCTTTGTTTTCATTTCTCGTAAAATGTACAAAGTTTTCTTGGGGTCTCACTTTCCCACCTTAAGTTTATTGAAAGCATTAAAACTATAGTAAATCTCATCAAGTAGAATTAAAGACAAATGGACAGAGAAGTCAGGTGAACACAGGTTGTGGGAGTGGGGATGGAAGAGTGGTTACTGGGGACATGGGCCTGCTTTAGGGCCTGTTAAAGGGTCTAACAGCCTTAGCAGCAGAAAAAAAAGATTTTAATTCTGAGTTTGGGTGACTCTTCTGGGAAAATAAAAAGCCAGTGATGCAAAAATCTTGACTACAGTTAACTCATATACTTAGATAATAAAAGTAACAATAGCTAACATTTATTATCTACTATGTTGAAACAGTGTGCCAGAAGCTTTATGTATGTCTGTATAGCAACACAAAGTTGTAAGGAAAGTAGAATTCCCATTCGATAGAAGAGAAAAAGTTGCAGCAGCTAAAAATGTTAAGATTTCCTTGGGAAAAAGGATTAGTCAGCAAACTTTCAGACATTGGAAGCTAGATAAATGATATCACGTCAGTCTTAGAATCCACTGAACCTGCCTGAATATTGGTTTAGGCACAGCCTAAGCTAATTTGCCTCATGTGATGTAGAAATACAGGCATTCTGACCCAAGGATTCATACAAGGTGGCTGGAATACTATTTAAGCACTTTTGTCACCACATTCTCTGGACTTCGTCATGTGGAGATGGTGAGGTGATGTGGCCCACTCTGTTGCTACTGGGAATGCCAAAGAATCTGAATTATACAGTAAGGGCTGGGTGACATACAAGTAAAAGGGCAGTGCTGTATGTTGAATGAGGGCCACTGTTGGAAATGGTCATTTGCCACAAAACCTGTCTCCTGGTGCACTAGTCGACTCAGTATCAGACTTAACAGCAGAGTTAAACTCCAGATTGAGAGCCCAAGTCAACTTAGTTTAATTGACCAAGGGGCGAACCTTGCGTCCCAGGACTAGCTCCAAAAGAATGCATGAGTTGGGGATGAGCAGCTTGGCTTACGTCATTTCCCATATGTTTCCAGCTGCCTGGAGTCAGTATTACAAAAGGACTCAAGAGCACTCAGCGTTGTGACAGCCTGTGTGCTAGCATGTATTTGTGGTGATACAGTTGTATAAGCAGAATCAGTACTTGCTTGGAATTATGGTGCCCAGGATTTATCTATTAGAGTTGAAGAGCCAGCTGAATACAAAGCTAGCAATCACAAGGAGAGAAATGTAAAACTAGCCTGCTTAGAACAAAAGCTGGAGTAAGGATCTGCCAAGAGGGTCCTGTTGTTGAACTGTACTTGTGACTTTATCACAATATGTAGTTCACAATGATTGCATGCAAGCTTATTCCATTCAAGCTTTTTCTTATCCGGATAGTTTCTGCTTAGGAGTGGCATTTTCAGTTAATGAAGTGTTGTGATTGTTACTATGAAACTCTTAAATTTACCTGGATGAAGCTCTTCCTTAATTGAGAAAGGTGTGGCTAAAATTTCTTGATGAAAAGCAGCTATAGTCGGCTTGTTGGATCTGAAATGAGTGACTCCTGTCCAAATGTTTTTGTATCCAGCAGATGTGGCAGGGCAAATATCTGCACAAATTTCAAAACTCAGCAGAGGCTGGCTGAAGCTCTCTGCTAACTGGAGTAGCAGCTTTGAAGGAGCAGAGGTCTAGAAAAGGCACCAGCAGTGACTGCTGAAGATACCAGGTTGATAAACTAACAGGGACCCAGTGTTCTAGAAGTGTGTCTAGTAGTAAAGGCGGGGTTAACAACCCCAAAAGTACGTTGCTTAGATATTATTTATCTCTTGAATCCATATATAGTTAGAATCTTTGGGAACTTATACCTATGTAACTTTATAGTTGCAATAAAATGCTTTAATTTAGTCACTAGCCCCTGACAATAAAAAGGATTCCTTCCATCCGTTGCCTCCAGTGAAGTTCTGTCTGTGGTAAGAGAAGTTGTTTGCCTGAGTACGTCAGACTTGTATGAAAGAAAATTGATAGATCTTCCTCATGTTGATTTTAACAGGGTGATTTGGAAAAGGTTTGTAAATTGGCACAGACTTACAGGCCAAGCATGGAATAAAATTAGCTTTCACATAGGTTAAAAGGAAGTGAGAGTTTTTATAAAAATGGAAAGTGTAAAGTCATGGCTCTGGCATTACTGTTATTTCAGGCCGCTGTGGATTAAAGCCTAAGAGATGACTCACTGTTGTGACCGCTGGCCAACTGCAGAGGGAGCGTGAGTGAATATGTCAGCGTGGTATCTTAAAAAGTTTTTGAATTTTTGGTTACGAAGCCTTAGCTTGTCATGAAGTGCTCTGGGTATTGTCTTGGTTTAGTTGGGAGTCAGATGCAGGAAGCAGAGAGATCTCCACCAGGATTTAAGAAAGGGTTCCTAAAAAAGAGGGCAGGGTTGGATAGTATTTCAGTTTGACTTCAGTGGATTAACATCCGCTGTGTGTGATGCTAATGCAGTGTCTATGCCAGGTCATTCTTTTAGAAGAAGGCTTTTGGCCGCCCGCCTCATGCTTCCATGTACTTCAGGCTTCAGAGCATCAGACTGAAGAATGAACCCTCCAGACACTAGTGCATTCACAGAGTAAAATATTATGCAACCCTCATCATGCTGCACAAAAGCTGATCTAGAGATCTAAGCACTACAGAGAAAAAGCAAAAAGATAATTTTAACTTTTGGTAAAATATGTGCAAGATGAAAGATTTAAAAAGAATCCATGTTCTGTGATTCCTGATATAAAATTTGTATTTCTGTGATCTGTTTTTGGCACATAGAAAATAAAACGCAAGAATGGCTGACAAAGTTCTCAGCAAGGCCCTGAGTTACTGCTTTTCTTCCTTTCTGTTGGGATGAACAAGAGGAATTTCAAGTGATTTCAACATTGGAAGAGATGTAATCCTCCCAGTTGGGGCCATGCTTCATCAGGCTTGTTGGGGAAATCTCCCTGATGCCAGGCCCTTGGGCAAAACTGCCAAAGCCATACAACCTAGAAAAGATGGATTCCCACCAGGCCAGTGACACTTTGCCCTCTGAACACATAGTTCTGTCAGGTAGCCTGAAAACAAGAAAAGTTTTCCTTTTACATGGTTTTAATTTCAAGCACTTAATCCCCCAGTGACCCTTCTGACTGAAAAGAACCCATTTTCTTGTGTGCTTGAAGGTAGAAATTAAGTTGTAGAAAATGCGGGGGAGAGGAAAAGCAGTACACACACAAACTATTTTGTGTTTCTGTCCACGTGTTTAAGATAGTGTGAAAGGAAATAATGCTTTTATTTACCATGTCAGGCAGCACTGCACTATGTCATTAGCTCTGAGATTAGTGTCTGGCAAATAAGGGAAATGAGGATGAGCATTAGCATATATTGTCTGAGTTTCTTCCTGCAGTAGCATGGGACTGGCAGAATCATTTGTTGTTGAAACCTGGCCTGTTCACTGTACCCGGAAGATGGTTTCCATAGTAGGCAGGGCTAGACAAGTCATGAAGAAGCTCCACATGCTGTAGGGAACAAGAGAACATGAAAAGTAGGACACTGGTTTATCAGCAGACTGTGCTAAAGCATGCATTTAGAATCGTCCCAGAGCATACCTGCACTCTTAATACAGAAGGACTGCAATGAGATTTACTGATCTGTGCCAGTATCCCAGCTAGAAAGTAGAATAAAGAACCACAGAGTAACCTGGTGGATTTCACACCGTACGTCCGCAAGACTGAGCTGGTCCAAGGAAGCTCTTTCCACGCTGCTTGCTCCCTCTCCTCTAATGGTCCTTTGGAAGGTCTTAGGACAGCTTCCTGACCCTTGTGTTTTGCCTCTGCATCCCCCTCTTGACCACTCATTCATCTATCCAAAGGGAAAAGTGGACACAGTGGCTCAACATGCAGTTCTTCCTAGGGTAAGGGTGTTGTGAACAGGACACTGAACTAAGGGAAGGTTTGGTTTAAGTATGCTTTTATCTCTACCGTATTTGAAAAGAAATGGGAAGGGAGTTTGTCTTCTGAATGCACTCCCAAAATGCCAGTAACAGCTGGGGTTGGGCCAGGCTCCCAAGTACAGTAGCCATCCTCTGCTCTGCTGCCTTTCAGGGTGTGGAATCATTGAAACACAAATCGGGCATCTTGAAATGCAATACTTGTGTTCCAAGCAGCAGCCCAACTGCTGTACCAAATGCGTGCCTCAGGGAAGTTTTTAAAACAAATACTGTGTTAAATTTTAAAAAGTTAGAGATAGTTGCCTTCAGATCAGATCAACATGTCTTCTTACCACTACATAAAGGGTTTGAGCTGGCTTTTCCTTACAGTTCCTGACACCAAAGATGACAAGAAGATTGGAGGTTATGCAAATAGCAGGCTGTTGGAACCCAGTGAGGTAGCCTAGCAGTTAAACTCTTTACATGTACCAGGATCCCATATGGGTGCTGGTTCATATCCCATTAGCCCCACTTCCCATCCAGCTCCTACTTGTGGCCTGGGAAAGCAGTCGAGGACGGCCCAAAGCTTTGGGACCCTGCACCCATTTGGAAGACCTGGAGGAGGCTCCTGGTTCCTGGCTTCGGGTCAGCGCAGCTCCAGCTGTTGTGGTCGCTTAGGGAGTAAATCAATGGACAAATCTTCCTGTCTTTGTATATCTGACTTTCCAATAAAAAAACAACAGGCTGTTGAGCAAAAATATTGATATTCTTCATCTGGTCTAAGCTGAAATTTTCAGCCTTTTGGAAGATCCCTAAACCCCTACAGCCAGATTCAGTGGTATGTTGATGTCCACTTTAGGCCAATAGTAAGGTTTAGCCGTATTTACTATGTGCCAGACACTGGTCTCATTGTTTTATATATAATGGACTCATACTGCACATGTAGGACCAGGCACAGAGCTGATAGTTCCCTGCCAGTGTAACTTTGATGATCTCTTGAGCGAGACAACAACCATACAACTAAGTGTGGCAAGCTAAGAAAGTACAGCTGTAGAAGCACAGAGGAAAGTGGGGTTAGAACTTCTCAGGAGAGGCCCTTTGGGAGTTAGGTCTTGAAAAAACAACTAGAAGTAGACCCTGAGAAAATTAACATGAGAGCAAGCACTTGCAGCAATAACAGCAACAAAATTGAAATCAGTTACGGAGAGAAAGGAAGAGAGAGATCTTGCATCTGCCCGTTCAGTCCCCAGATAGCCGCAACAGACGGAGCTTCGTTGGAGTCTCAGGAGTGTCATAGACCACCTTACACTGCCATTACCAGGCCGTTAGCGAACTGGATTGGAGGTGGAGCACCTGAAACCTGAACCATCACTTACAGGAGATGCTGACGTTCCAGGGAGCTGTTTAACTTGGTACACCATGCTCGCCCCATGAGAAGATTTCAGATAGAAGCAGCAGTGCTTGTATGGACTTGGCTGCTGGAACCCCTGAGCATCACTGAACTCGAGGGTTCCCTGAGATCCACAGTACAGTCCAGAGGGGCAAGGTGAGGACAACTTGAAGAAAATCTTTGTAAAGTTTGTGAACATGAGGCAGTGCTGTCCTCAGTTTTCCTTGGTTTCAGGAAAATTAACTGGAGATGACAGCAGCAGAAGGATCCGTGAAAAAGAGGATACATTTTTCATGGTAAGGGATGTTTCAGACGTTCATGAGATGAGCATATCAGCCACCCTGGCCTCTTGGAGATCTGCATTCTTATGAGGGACAATAAACGGCATAAATAGTGTATTGAGAATCATATAGGAAATTGATAAGGAGATACAGAATAGCAGACTAGCAGAGTGAGAAGCTTAGAGCGGCCGTAGGACTTAACAGTGAACTGTTTGGGAACTGCCCGGCAACATGCCAACCGGGGAAGACCCAGAGGAAAGGGGAGTGAAGACTTGAGAGACTTGTGTTCTATGTTGTTTATGGGTAAAACCTCAGCAACAGCCAGTGGAGGTGAGAACACAGCATAACTGTTTTTGTAGCCATAGTATGTATGACGCACATCATTACCATCACCATTTTCAAGAAACTGACAACTGATCTTGAATTCATAAAAGATTGTGTTTTCTCTCAATGCGTGAAGAAGCATGAGAAAGAACCAGCCACAGTACATGTCAGTAGGTTGAAGAACCTGAAATCCAGAGCCCTGTGGTTGAAAGGAACTTCTCGTTTAAGTAGCTGGAGTCTGGTGTCACTGTAGCCAGGGGAGCAGGGGAGCAATGCAGGTGGCCTTCAGCAACGTCCTGGGGGAGCAACTGCCGTGACACAGTAAAGAGAACGGAATCCACAAGGAGCTGTGGGCTGCCTCAGGAAGACAGGGCTCGGTTCAGGGTCTGGGTGAGTAACAGTAGAGACAGTTGCAATGATGCAGAAGTGTGCTCTAGACTGGTTGTTGTCAGTAAATGGAACAACTCTATGGGTGTTTTCTGAGCGGTACAGTGACCTTGCCTTGATCTATACTTGGGCGGAACTATGATGTAGTCTTTTCCCCTGTTATCATGATGTCAGAGCAATTTCTGAAAGTTATTCTGTGAAATTGTTGAGGCTCCCTGGGCTGTGAGCCTCAGGCCAGCTTGTAATGATATGGCAGTCCAGCTGTGAATCTCACATCAGCTGTGAATCTCACATCGACTGGACACCACAGAGGAGGCTCGTTTCCTCTGACTAGTGACAAGATTGTGATGGAAATGGATCAAGGTTTCATTCCAGTTGCTGGACACAGCGCGTGTACAACGCTGACAGAAATCTGTATGGTTATGTGGTATAGCAGTGAACAGCTCCTCCTGGATTTAAGAAATAACTGTCAAGATTGTAGTATTACCTTTCTTACAGCATTTAATCCAGAGCAAAACTATGCTTCACTGAATCCCTTACCCAAAACAACTAGCCTTGCTCCGCGTGATTAACGTGCTTGCTCGTATTGGATGAAAGTGTCCATGATCAATAGCCCTTCACCACCGCCCTCTCCTTCCCTCTGGGAGTGCACCTTCTATACCAGGTAC